ATTTCGCATCCACGTTTGCCTGAATGATCAGATCAGTGCGTCTCGCCTAGTTTTTCTGGTCAATCAGAGACGTTCCTCACTTGATATCTCAGCAGCTAACATTATCAGCCGATCTTCGCTTTCAATGTTCATTGTTTCGATCAAGTTGCTCATAATGAAAAAGCGAAATATGATCTCGTAGCAACAATTTGCATTTGTATTTCAAGTGTTTTTTGAACGGTGATCGTTAATTTGTAGTTTTCGGCATGCCTGTTACTCCAGAATTATGTTCCATAAACAAATGAAGTTAGCGTTGTTGACCTGAATTACACTTCCACTGTTGTTGTTTTTTCTTGTGGTACTGATATTTTTATTCTTTTCCAACGAGCTTTTCTTGTTCTGGAATGCTTCTTCTCTCGTTACGAACATCTTCTCTAGCACATTTTCTGAGGAGTGCCACAAAATATGCTAATCGCAACTTGATTCCTCCGCATTCATGAATGGTCTCCGAAGCTCATGCACTCATTTGGTTCATCAGTGTAAATTGCTTCATGAAATATCGCAAAACAGTAGCGATGCTTCTAGATACTCACATAATGTGTTGCTGGATTACCAGTTAATCATTGCAGTTGCTGTTTCATTCGGACGAATTATCTCTGTCTGTCTTCAAACTTGGGTAATTAAAGCAAAGCAATCAAGATACGGATTCATGATTCTACGATGCGTTCGTATAATTACTATGCAAATTCATAAAGACCTACATTATCACTAGCAACGAACAAATTCGGAGTACTTCAATGCTGAATGGGGCATCTGGCCCGCATATTTCCTGTCAAGCCCTTGTGTACCTTTACATTTTTTGGGAGTAAATCACTGAGAAAATTTTGGGAGTAAATCATTGAGAAGCAGTTGTGTGATCAGAAATCATTTGTGTACATTGCCGAATTTCATGAGATTTTGGCGATTCATTCGCTATTATCGATAGTTTTGTGGAAACGAGTATGTCGNGTCTGTCTCTGACCGAGTGGCGAAATGACCGATTGTTTGCAACGAATTCTGAAATTAAGCATAACTAAGTGTGAAACGAATCGTTTAAAATTCTTGAAGGTTTCAAAGTCTGGAAGTCACTAAATGTATTTTGTGAATATTTTTTCCGTTTGTTCTGTTTCTGTTTCTCTCATCAAACGTCGTTTTGTGATTTGTGAGGTTGTCATTCAGAGTCACCACTCGTTATAATATCCAACGTTGATTCTTCAATTTTTACCGTCATCGAACACACATTTTATCAGCATCGTTATTGCCTGCGTAATGTTGCGTTCTGTGAATTTGCTGATTGATACCGAATTAAGCTTTAGATTGTAGATAGTTGCTAGACGTATTGTTGCGTCGTAAAATTTGAATGGCATCAACCGTGTTGGAAATTGTATGTGAAGCTGAAGATGGAGAAGTTGTTCAGTGGAAAGCATTTGATGGATCGTTTGTTCGTGCCGATTCGGTTCTGCTGATGTATCGGTCAGCAGAAGGTGGTGAAACGAAATCAATCAAAGCACCAGTTAGTGGTGTGGTTACACTTGAACCAAATATCAAGAAAGGAAAGGTCGGTAATGTTGCAGAATCCTCCTGAACGCATTGCCTGGCAAATGTAACGTCTCATGTGAATCATTTTACAACCGACATGACCATATTTTGTATTAGTTCCCGACATTTCCACTTTGCTTCCTCGTGCTTATCAAATCATAAGTTCGTTTTTGTAAAACTGCACTACCATTCGTCAGTTCTGAACGTGTGCATGTCGTTCATATAAATTTATGCGCATTGCACATCATTGCTGTATCGAATTTAAATGCCAGCCTGATGTCCCTTGTAATTACACATCGTTGTATATTAAAGGACATGCGTTTTTGAATCACCAGTCCAGTTCCAGTTCAAAAATAATGCTGTGTTGTATTTATCTTTAGCAAGAGCGATCCTTAAGAGAGTATTGGTGATGATATGGGCACTAGTAATCTCCTGACAACAACAGCCATGATAATGATAGTGATCAAAAAAACGTCTGCTAATATTGTCAGTATTATCATGAGATGCTCGATGTATCATTATAGTTATTGCTGTTATTTCTATGACTTTAGTTGCCGTTGCGTTAAATGTTGTGGTTAGCGAAATTCTTCACAGTAATGATGCTTGATGATTTCACAAGAAGAAGTCGAGGTCGCATTAATCACATAATGATTCATTTCAAAAGCAAGCAACTCGACTATTTCAAACTTGACAAAGCAAAAGCATTGACAATTTTCGTGAAAATATATCATAATGCTGTGAATAATTTAAGAGACTGAAGAAAGGTATGGTATTGGCACACATCGACGAATGTCGTCATGCAATCGTTATCAAAGATATGTGCGGTTCGTGTGGCAAAGATCTCAGAGAGTATGTTTTGTTTGATTAATTCTCATCGGCGAGATCGAAGTTGTGCTTTGAACAAAGGAATGGAACCTCCAAAATTCAGTCTAAATTTTGTGAGCTTCTGAGAAATCTAGAATTCACTGATTAGTAAATACTTTTGAAGTAACACATATGATTTCAAATTTGCAATTCGCACCTCAAATTTTGGAATTAAGCCTTGACGAGCAGCCTGCCCAAGGAAATCAAATGTTGCTGAACTGCACGCTGAATATATTCTCAGTGACAACGGTAAACGGAGCTAGTTAATCTAGGGATCAGCTTAAGCAGTCGGATAGATTATTATGTTGGCTATCAGCTGTGCTTAGTGAAGTCGTAAATCACTTGTTGCAAATGCTGCCAGAAGGTCTTTGAATTGACAGAACTGTACATCCAAGAAAGCTGCGTTTTTAGCTAACCTTATCGGTCAGTTGAGTAACCGTCCAATTGCGAATAGATCTAAACTGGTTCCCATCGGGAAGGGGAACAGGGTAATGGGCACAAGGGATTGTAGAGATGGGCAAAATCGTTGACCTGCCTTTTTCTTTGTAGTTTTTGCGAAGTTCAATAATGTC